AACCCTTCCAGTATGTTCGTTTTCACGTGAGGAGAAGACCTGACAGTTTGTTTTCTTTTGCTGTAACACACTGACCAATGAGGTAACACACTGACCACTTAACCGGTGCCGTCTAGTCAATTCCAACTCATAGCGACCGCTTCAGCCAACTTCTAGTAACAATCACAGCCTAGAGAATTAAGTAATTTTAATCATTGGGCTTTGTCGGTCATATAACACTTGACATGATTTTATTTCCCCTGCTTCTATTCATTCTTTCTCTAGTCAGATTTATGAACCTAACTGACATACAGTAAAATTCACCTTTTTTTTTTTTTAGATAAGTGCTTTGAATTCTGACAAAAACACAGTCATGTAACATTGTTGTGATTGAGGCATAGAACATTTCCATCATTGCAGAAAGTTTTCTCTTGCCCCTTCGTTATTAATCCCCTTCCTTCACCCCTAGCTCCTGGAACAGCTGATCTGTTCTCTATTCCTACAGTTTTATCTTTTCTAGAAGATCCTATAAATGGAGTTATGTACCCTGTGACTGAGTCTGGCTCCTTACACTTAGCATAATGTGTTTGAGGTCCATCTGTGGTTTTGCAGATATCGGTAGTTTGCTCCTGTGTATTGCTGAGTAGTAGTCCATTGTGTGGGCATTTACTTGGACAGTTACTCTCATTTCTTCCAGTTTGTTTATCAGTGACCCAGTTGAGGCACATTTGACTGTTTCCGGTTTTTTGACAAATCTGAATAAAGCCACTAGAACATTCACCTACAGGTTTTTTTGTGGACATATATTTTCATTTCTCTTTGGTAAATACCTAGGAGTGGGATTTCTGGCTTGTATGGTTAAGTGTATATCTAAGTTTATGAGAAACTGCCTAACTTTTCCAAAGTTGCTGTACCATGTTACATCCCTACCAGCAGAATATAAGAGTTTCAGTTGCTGGACATCCCTTGTTAGCACTTGATAAAGTAAGCTTTCTTTTCTTGTTTTAGATTTTAACCGTTCTGTTAGGTGTGCCATCATTTTTCATTGTGGCTTTTATTTGTATTTCCTTAATGTCTAATAGGAGCCCTGGTGGTGCGGTGCGTAAGAGCTCTGCTGCTAACCAAAAGGTCGGCAGTTTGAATCCCTGAGCCTTGGAAACCTTATGGGGCAGTTCTGCTTTGTCCTGTAGGGTCACTATGAATCAGAATTGACTCGACGGCAATGGGTTTGGTGTTTTTTTTTTAATGATTAATAATGTTGAACATCTTTTCAGATGCCTATTTGCCACCCACACGTCTTTGGTAAGGTATCTATTCAAAGCTTTTGCCCATTATTTTTTTTATTATTGGGTTGTGAGAGTTTTTTTAATAATATATTTTTGTTATTGTCGATTATTATATATGTGTTTTGCAACTGTTTAGTTCTAGTCTGTAGCTTGTCTTCATTTTCTTAACATTGTCGTTAAAGGAGTAGCCGTTAATTAATTTTGATAAGTCCGGTTAATTAATTTTTTTCTTTTATGATTTGTGTTTTTTGTGTTCTATCTTCAGAAGCGTTTGCCTAATGGTGAAGGCCGTAAAGATTGTCTCCTTTGTTTTCATCTAGAAGTTGTATTGTTTTAGTTTTTGTATTTAAGTCTATCATGATCCATTTTGAGTTAGTTTTTATGTATTGCATAAGCTATGGGTTGAGGTTTTTTGGGTTTTTTTTTTTTGCATTTGGGTAGTCACTTGTTCTAGAATACATGGTTTTCTTGTATAGATCTATTATCGATATTAGAAAAAGAAATCAGCCCCAGTGATTTTAAACAAGAGATACTTGGTACCTCATCCACAGAGTAGTCCTGTCCAGTTTATTAACTCCATTTCTGCTTGGTTTTTAGTTATGTTTTGTCAGATACTCAGTTAAAAACTTAAAGCCTTATTGTCATTAATAATTCATGTTATTTTTTTTAAGAAAAATCTAGGTCTCTGGAATTTCTTAGGTAGAAACTGAAATGATACCGGGGTCTTCCCCCCCCCCCCTCCCAATAGTTTGCTCTTTAACCTTCAGTTTGGCTGGGGTTATGGTTATTTTTAGAGTACACGCGGTAGAGCTAATCTAATTAAACTCACCCAGATACCTGGGGCAGTGAGCTCATCAGCTCTTCCAAGCTCAGCATGGTTGGCTCTGGACTGGATTTTACATGGAAGTTGATCTAGGTAAAGACAGTGGATATTGTTGAGAATGTAGTGCATTGAAGAATGAAGAAAGTAGCTTGAGTTTGGGTCATGTATGGTTCTTAACCTCAGACTGTAAGCTAAGATTGCATTCTTTGGTGATGAAAGAGATCATAGAGTGGCTGCTATACTTGAGACCTAGGGCACAATCATAGCATCCTTGCGTGCTTTTATTGGGGCAGTTACTCTGATTTCTTCCTTAGAATTGATGTGGTTTTAAGCTTCTTCATTTTGACTGAAATTTACATTGCCTTGTAAGAATAACTGTTCATCCCCAATATACTTACGTTTTACTATTGTCATCATTTGTTGGCTTTATAGAGAAGTGGTTCCCCAAAGTGGGAATGTATTCACCCTAGAGGATATACAAGGTGATTCCATTGGTGTATAGAAAAAGAATAATGAAATTTCTGTTCTTTTTCTAGAGAAATTAAGCCTAATATTTAATGTGGATTGACTGTGTGTGGGTTTGTGCTCAAAGTTTTCACTGAGAGAAGTTCATAAAAGTTTTGAGACCTTTATAGAACCCTTTTGCAGAAGTTTTAACATGTATAATTTGACTTACCGATACCGTCTCTAGAATTATTGAAGCTATTTTACAGATGGAGAAAATGAAGTCAAGAGAGGATTAAGCATTTCATCCAGGGTTACCAAGTATGCTATTGTTTAGCCAATACTAGAACCCTGGACTTCCAGTTTTCAGTGTAGGACTGATTCTGCAAAACTCTGTGCCTAAAATGTGACCTGCTAAAGCTATCTGCCTGTTAATTCAGTGATTAAACAGGGTTGACTCAGGCATTCACTAGATTTTCTGTTTCTCAGTTTAGCAATAAATTCTGTCAACTTTTTTCTGTAAAGAGATGATCCTGTATAAGAAGAACCTTAAACCCATCTTCCCAGAAGGCTAGCTCTGCAACCTCTGGTCATGGGTTGAAGCTCATGGCTCTCCTTTCCCACTTCTCAGAACTAGGTAGAGACTAGGCTTTTAGTTCCTCATGGTCATGGAGGCTGAGAAAGCAAATGTGTCCTCTAGAGCTGTAAGAGTCTAAAGTTCAGGCAGTCTGGGCTTCAGTAGAAGTTGGTGAGATTCAGTCTTGAGAAAGGTTCTCTGGAGCTGCTTTTTCATGCTTCTCTGAGACTGGATCATAGGTGAGGTGGGGCGTGTGGTGTGGTAGACAGTGTTGAGGCTGGAGGTGGGAAATGACCTTAGTTTTTAATCCTAAAAAATAGTGCAGTCAGTTTCCCCACTTCATTTTCATTTTGCAATTAATATATTGACTTTATACCCTAGATAGGGGAGAAGATGTTGTTGGGATGCTAAAATATATATACAGGGACTACTGAGAGGAAAAAACAAATGCTTTGTGAGGAACACTGTACAAAAATATATGCACAGAAGAAAGAGTTGGAAAACAGCCTGCTCTGCAAACAGCTCTTCACTGCTTTTCTTTATGTCACTTCACAAATCTGTTTTTTGTTGCCATTGTCTTTCATTATCTGCCTTCCAGGTGTCCTTCCCTCCGATTCAGCCTCAGCCCTGCTCTGGCATTATTTCTAGTCCCCTGCCCTGGCCTGCCTATGAGCAGTCTTTGAGCAGCTGTCTCTTGGCAGAGGACACTTTTTATGAAGCTATTTGGATTTCTGTAGAAGAGAGTGGGGGATAAGGATAAGGATAGGGCTGCATCTGGGATAATTGTTATAAGAATGAAAGGGCTGTTGAAAGATTAGAGTTCAGTGTGCCTGGGGACAAGGACTGGGGTTATAATCATACTTTGTCTTTTGCCAGTGCTTTTTGTCCAAGGCGATGAAAGGGCTTAACAAAATTCTGGTCTGAATGATATTCTTTGCTCTTTGGGATTTGCTGGAGGTGGGAGTGAGGCCCTGAAAATAACAATGTTTTACAGTGGCATAAGGGGATAAAAGCTAGGTACCTAGTTGACTTCTAGCTAGGGCTTTGTCAAAAAGACAAGTCTGGTGAAAGTTGGTTGAATTAGGAGAAATAATGTTTGCCATATTATGAAACGGGATGAGGTGGTTTAATGGAAATGTCGCCCTGTTCTTCCCTAGCTTTCCACTTGTTAACTGTCTGTCCTAACAGGAAACAAAGAACCCCCACAAACTTTTAAGTTGTTTCTTAGGGGTAGGGCTGCTCCTGAGTTTTAATTCCAGCTTACCCTCTTTTAATCCTTAATATCTCTGTGTTAACTAATATCTTCTAGTTAATAAGTTTGAAGCTAGGCTTCTTCGGTGGAGCATAAAGCCCAAGCTTTTACCCCAAGAGCTTGATTTCTTCTACCTTTGTTGATTCGTGTATAAAATGATATTCAAAATTTGACCCACCTCTTGATGTGGAGACAAGTGCTTTACAGGGTTTGTGGCTACATATGACTAGTATTTATAACAAGATTCTTGGAGCCTGGACGGCAGTGCCGAAGCTGGCCTTTTGATCAAGACTGCTTGCAGTACCTGTCACTTGATATATGCCTGCTGTTACAGGTTTTATTTCAGTTCCCTCTTTCACATGTGGAAAGACACTGTCAGTTACTTAGTGTAAAAGCTAAAGAGTTGGTGGTTGACCTCCCAAAGATTGTGACCCTTTGTGGAGTTTAGACATAGAAAAAAAACAACTACCACCTGCAGTGCTTTTCAGCAGCTGAAAAGCCCTATTATAGAACACAAAAAGAGTGTTCGTTTTTATAAAAATGACAAGGACTGCACATTGTTAAATCTCTTTGTCCCTCTTATTGTCTTTCCCAGGGTTGTTTCCTAATTGTTTCATTTTCTTCCTCTCCCAAATCCAGGCTGGCTGCTACAAACATTCAAGATGTCCAGCAAAGGGAGCAGCACAGATGGCAAAACAGACTTAGCTAATGGTAAGGGGCTAGAGTGAAAGCAAAGCTGTATTTGCTATCAGCTGAGGTCTCCCTCCCTCTAAGGTACAGTGTAGGCCTGGATTTTAATGGAGGGAAGGGAATCTTTCCTGAGTGAACCTTTCCTGTGTTCTTTTGAGTATAGGAAACTCCATAGGAAACACCTTGGACTGTCTGGTACTTTTGCTCCTTCAGCTTTTGTTTGTTTATTTTCAGAAAACCGGTAACAGAGCTGTGCTTCTGAGAGGCCAAGTGGCTTGGAATTCTGAAAGGCTGTAAGGTAGACAGAACAGGCAAACCTAGGAGATGTTGTAATAACAGAGAAAAATAAGACTGAATTGGTGGTGGGAACAAGGGAGCTGTTGAGAAGGTGAAGCTCCCCGTTTGTATTGAGATATCCCTTTCCATCTTAGATGATAGCTCGATAGAGGTAATAGAGATGGAGTTAAAACCTAACCAACCCAACTGGGACTAGCACTTTCTTTCCCTTTTTTTTAGGGCCAGTGTTGCCAAGTGTTGAGTCATTGGTTGTAGGTCAGATTTGAAGGTAGAATATCAAGGTTCTGATAGAGTAATAGCTGCTACCTGGGTCATTCGACCAATGCTTGAACTTTGAGCCAACTTCTAAACTAGAGAAACCTCTTCCAAATAGATAGAGTTGGGCAGCAGAGAGTCCAGCATTCCTCAACACCTTGCAGGCCAGGATTGTAGGCCAAATTCTAGTTGGTATGATTGATAGAGCAATGGTGTTGAGGAGTAGGGTAGGTGATATTTTAAACATGCTGTTTTATTGCTCCTTTCTTCTTTTCTTAACCCCTGCCATTTATTCATCTTCTGTCAAGGAGAGGTTCAGATATCTCACTGGGCTTAGTTAAAAGGCACAGGGTTCTAGAAAGGTTTGAGGTATGCTGTTGATTTGGAGCTTGGCCATTAGATGAAGCTTGGCCATTTAAATTAGGGATTGGCAAACTACAGCCACCAGCCCAAGTCTGGTTCACTGCCTGTTTTTTATAAATAAAGTTTTTTTGGAACACAGTCACGCCCCTTTGTTCACGTAGTGTCTGTGGCTGCTTTTGTGATACAGCATTGGAGTTGAGTAGTTGTAACAGAGACCCATATGTCTGCAAAACCTAAAATTTTTACTGTCTGGCCCTTTACAGAAAAAAAATTGCCGGCCCCTGAGATAGTTCTTGGTCATTGGCTGTTGGGACCCTCTTGCTGAGCTTGTAGTATACTCTGGCCCTTATGTTAATGTGATAGGGTCCCCAGAGTCTTCCATATCTGTGAATCATAATGCATAAGAAGCATTGTTTAACAATAATTACTAGAAGTTTTGATGTTTTATTTTTGCTTCTCCAGACATGTTAGGTGTGATATTTTTATCCCTTCCCACCACTCCCAATCTCAAGCCTAATTGGCACTTTTAAAAACCATAGCTATTTAACTTATTCAGAATACATTAAGCAGTGTCAGCACATGTGGCTCCTAGGCTCACATTGCTGAACTCTTACCTTTTTCTTTCAGCTCCCACCTCAGTAGTTTTCACACTGCACTTAGTTGAGGTGCTTTTTGAAAAGGGGTGTTTATGTGTATCCCAACCTTCTGTCACTACTTGAACTTGTATTTTTTTAATCTGTTTTCTCTATTGAGTGTTGCATAAGAATTTATTGAAAAAGGGTTCCACGGCTTCAAAGATTTTCGGAAATCACTAATCCAGATAACTGGGCAGGGTACCCAGACTCTGAATCCTAAGCCATCAGAGTGGTATTAGAGTTGGATTGCTTACACCGGAGTCGCAGACAACTGATGCCTTTCCTGACAGCCTTTATTTTGGGTAGGATGAGATTTATAGTCATCTGAGGAAAGGAAGGTGACATGAGCAGTGTTTAAAACTCTCATTTCCCCTCCTCTCCTCACAGTTTGACCTTAGGTTAGCCTGGAAGTTGCCGCTTTAGCCCTAGAACATTGACCAGGTGCTCACTGGAATATGATTGGGCTGTTGTTAGATAGGAGAGTGTAAGGGTCTAATTGTAGGGGATTAGATCACTTGAAGTGACCCAGTTTTATAACTATCAACATGGCAGTCTTATATAGTGAACTTTTCTTCTCAGGCCCCACTATAGTAGCCCTGCTTTTTATCAGCTTTATACATGCTTCTTGATAAAATTTTGTCTGAGAGTTCCTATTGGGTACAAACTATTAAAATCGGTAAACTAATGGAAATAGTGAGAAAAAGGTGAGTGAGAACACTCAGGTGATGAGAATTCGCACTTCTTCGTTCCACTTCTTTCTTGATTCCTAGTGGATTTGATCCCAGCGATGAGTATCATAAATGGACCTTAGGGCGAAGAAACTTAGAATATAGGAGGAAGGAGGTAGTGATGCTTTCCTGAAGTGGGAAGTGGTCCCAATTCCACATCCATAAGTCAGGGTGATTTTAATCAGTTGTTTTCCATCTTTCCCTAAGAAGATGGCTAAACCAGCCCTTGCTGGGATTGGCTGTTCTTTTTCCTTCTATTCGGCTTGATTATATGCTCTAACTAATGGCTTCTTATCCAGTAGAGTAGAGCCGAAGGTAGTTGTATCAGGCACACTTCAGTACAGTCTGCCAGTGTTTCCTTTCTATAATCTCAGGGTGTCCTGCAGTTCTTCACTTGTGTTGAAATACCTTTATTTTTGGGTAGCTTTAATTTAATCTTTTAAATTTCTTGTCCCTTACAAATTTCCTTCCCCAGAAGCTCCTATTTATAAGTATTTGGAATGAAAACACTTTTGATGAAGGTGGTTTCTGGTTCCTTTGATGCGATGATTTCTTAGACTGAAGAGGGGAAATCCTTCTGACTGCTCTTCTGTTTCTTCTTTTTCCTCTTCACCTAAATCCAGGAAGCCTGTCCAGCAGTCCAGAGGAGATGTCTGGAGCTGAGGAGGGGAGAGAGACATCCTCAGGCATTGAAGTGGAGGCCTCAGACCTGAGCTCGAGCTTGACTGGTGATGATGGTGGCCCCACTCGCACGAGCACAGAAAGTCGCGGCACAGACACAGAGAGCTCAGGTGAAGACAAGGACTCTGACAGCATGGAAGACACTAGCCGTTACTCTATCAACGATGAAAACCGAGTCCATGACCACTCAGAGGAAGAAGAGGAGGAGGAGGAGGAGGAGGAGGAAGAGGAGGAAGAAGAGCAGCCTCGGCGCCGTGTACAGCGCAAGCGGGCCAACCGTGAACAGGACTCATCAGATGATGAGCGGGCCCTGGAGGACTGGGTGTCCTCAGAGACATCAGCTCTGCCCCGACCTCGCTGGCAAGCCCTTCCTGCTCTTCGGGAGCGGGAGTTGGGTTCAAGTGCCCGCTTTGTATACGAGGCCTGTGGGGCAAGAGTCTTTGTGCAGCGTTTCCGCCTGCAGCATGGGCTTGAAGGCCATACCGGTTGTGTCAATACCTTGCACTTTAACCAGCGTGGCACCTGGCTGGCCAGTGGCAGTGATGATCTGAAGGTGGTGGTGTGGGACTGGGTGCGGCGGCAGCCCGTACTGGACTTTGAGAGTGGCCACAAAAGTAATGTCTTCCAGGTGAGGCAAGGGAGCAGAAGAGCACTTGAGAAATCAGGCGTGGGTTAGACAGGTCTGAGCTGCTGCCTGGACTTGGAGCTGGTAGTGAGTTGAGGTAGGAATTGGACATCAGGACTCCGGGCCCTACCTTGGCTCCCATGATGATATAGAGGAGTAAAATACACTGAAAGTTCCCTAACCTTTTTTGTTTCCTTAAACGTAAGGACTGTTAGAAGTCACATTATCGGTAGGGCGCTGGAAACTCATTAGAAGGGTATTAAGTGTGCTCTCTTAGGAGACAGTATAGTACGCCAGTACAGGCTCTTGGGTCAGACCGCCTGCATTCCATTCTTGGTCTGCCTCTCACTAGTTTTGTGATCTCGGCCAAGTCTTAGCCTCTTTTCTTAGTGTAATTGTCTGTAGAGTGGGGCTAATAATACATAGGGCTATGAGGATTAAGTAATAATGGAGGCTAAACAGTTAGACCTGTGCCTGGTACTTAATTAACATTTGATAAATATTAGCTAACATTGTCATTATTCCCTGGAGATTTTACTCTTCAGCCCCAGGCATCATGCTAGGGATAAGTGGTACTAGCCATTTATCCCTAAGCATGTTCTCTTCTCTTCCCCAATATCCTCCCTAGTTTCCCTTTTTTTGGTAGCAAATTTGTGTTTGCTTCCTGAATCAAGATAGATTTGCCTCCTTTGTTTCTTATTTTTCTTACCTACTAGATAAAATCCTAGTTCACCTGAACACTTAGCGTGTACTATGAATTCCACCTTCCAGAGAACATCAGAGGATGTTCTTTCTCTCCCTCTTTGTTAACTCCTGGTATTAATTGCGCTTGAGCCAACTGTATAAGAGTGGGAAAGTTTAAGTTTCCAGCTGTTGCATTAGAAAAGAGGATGATTTGTAGTCATCATCACATTTTTCCCTCTCAGATTCATTTTTTTCACTTCCTTTTGTGTGTTCTTTTTTCGTTCTTACCACCCCAGGCCAAGTTCCTTCCTAACAGTGGTGATTCCACCCTGGCCATGTGTGCCCGTGATGGGCAGGTGCGGGTAGCAGAACTCTCTGCCACACAGTGCTGCAAGAATACCAAGCGTGTGGCTCAGCACAAGGGAGCCTCCCACAAGGTAAGTAAGCTCTTGTTCCAAATTTTGTGCAGTCTAGATCCTTTGTGGAGCTCAGCCAAGACCCTCCCCCTATTCTGCCCGTAATTTTCCCTTTGTTGTACAAGGTGGAGCTGGTCACCTGCCTCACCCTCTTTCAATCCTAAGTTTCATAGATAAGGAGGGAGAAAAATCGGCCACTCTGACCTTCTTAGAGGGGCAAGTATTTGTGAGATCTCTGTCATGAACATGCCACATTCACTTGATTGTACCTAGACCCTGATTATACCTAGACCCTAAGCTGAGCCATAGTTGGTTTGGAAATCTGATGTTTCCTATGCCTTCCAAACCTCTACGTTTTATTCTGCTTGTCTTTAGAACATCTTAACAGTCCCAAGGTGCTAATGGTTGGTTTCTCATATGTGAGAGTTATAACTTTCCTGGTTAAGACTCTCATCTCACAAATAGCACTGTTTCTGGAAGCCTTGTTTAGTTAGAGCTGAGAGTATAAGTCAAACATTCATGGTGGCTTACAGTGAGGAGCTAAGAGCTGCCCAATCTCCGGGTAGGCCCAGTGTTCTTTCATGCCATGGAAAGAGGATGATCCTCTCTTCTGACAAGTCATAAGTAGGTATGTGGGTGGTCCTGGGGTGTCCTTTAGGGGTAACAATGAACTTCTAGGTCAGGTGGCTCAGGAAATGTGAAAATATGTAGTTCTTTGACTCTTAAGCCTACCCTCAACCCACTAGATAATTTGTAAAACTAAAATGTAGGAAATGAAACTTGGACTCCGTTTCTCTCCCCTCTTGAGGGCATGGAATAAATTTTATTTGAGATAAGCCCTAATGGCTGATATTTCCCTTCGGTATCTGTGTTCAGATCCTTTAGGGACTTAATTGAAATAGCAATTCAACTGTCCTTTTGCCTTGTATAGAATAAAAAAGGTGTAAATAATTCACACAGAAAACAAGAGAGTGGACTTAAATCTCCTTTCTTGGGATTTTTTAATAAAAAGGTAGCCATTTTTCTTGCTGAGACATTTTAAATGCAACCCTTTTTAAAGGTAAGGGATGAAGTAGATGACCTAGTTCTGCTCTTTATAAACCTCATCCTTTCCCTTTTCTCCGTCAGCTGGCTCTGGAACCAGACTCTCCCTGTACGTTCCTATCTGCAGGTGAAGATGCAGTTGTCTTCACCATTGACCTTAGACAGGACCGGCCAGCTTCGTAAGTATAGTGGTAGTTTCATGACAGAACTGGAATCCTTGGCCTTGAAGATATTCCCTGTGTCCTAGGCAATGTTCAGCTCTCTGGTCCATCAGAAGAGTCCCTTTGTGCCTATGATAAGAGGCGGTTTAAGGCTTAGAGGAATTCTTTATTTCCTTGTGGTTATTTGTCTGTTTCTCAGCAAGGAAGTATTATTCAGTCCACCTTCATTTCTAAAACGACTCCATTTTCTTATTATATGTGGGCGTTAATTACTTCATCACCTTCGGTTCTCCATTTACTTGGGTACCTCTCAGCTTCTCCACAAGAAGCATATGATGCTGTTTTGTGTACTCTACAAAGGAGCTTAGAGATATGATCTTGTTTACTTTTCAGTTCTGTTACTTATAGGAACATGCGGACAATTGATAAATCTTGGACAAAATATTGGTAGCATAGAGCTTTATGTACTCTATCTACACTTGTATCACAGCCTATATTTACATGAATTTGAGACCCATGGATAAATTATATCCCCTTTCAGCTGTGGTATCATGGAAAGAACATAGCATCTTGTTTACATCCAGGCAGATCTAGGTCAAATCTCAGCTCAGGCACTACCAGTTGTGTGGTCTTGGGCAAGTCACTTTACCTTTCTGAACCTGTTTCTTCATCTTTACAATAGCATAGAGTCTGGCTCCAAGGTTTGAATTGATTGAATTGTAGCTACTATGATAATTATTTTAGGTTTTTTTTTAAAAAGTGTTAATGATTTTAATGTACAAATACGTTCTTGTTTAAGAGGTTCACATAATAAAATGTGGCTAAAGTGTAAAGGCGCCCACATGCTCTGTCCCCCGTTTTTCTAGCTACTGGTAACTAACCCTGGTTAACAATTTTGAACACCTTTCAGTGTATATGTACACAGATAATGTAATGTAGACATACACTTTTCCACATCAGTGAGATAATTATATGCATATATAAACTTAAAAAAACATCCGTTGCTGTTGAGTCGTTTCCAACTCATGGCGACTCCATGTGTGTCATAGTAGAACTATGCTCTATAGGGCTTTCAGAGGTTGGTCTTTTAGAAGTTGATCACCAGGCCTTTCTTCTGAGGCACCTCTGGGTAGACTTGAACCCTCCAGTCTTTCGGTTAGCAGCCAAGCACATTAACTGTTTGTACCACCCAGGGATTCCATACATAAACATGTTGCTAGTTGCCATGCAGTTGTCTTTGACTCATGGCGACTTTATGTTTAACAGAATGAAACATTGCCCAGTCCTGCACCGTCCTCACAATCGTTGGTATGTTTGAGCCCATATCTGTATTTTTTAAATTTGACTTTTTTCACATTATAACATGTTTTAGACATCTTTTTATGTCAGATTTTAAAAAGCCTGCCTCATTTTTAACCACAGTGTACGTGTCATAGCATGGGTGTACCACAGTTAATTTAACTGTTATCTTAGATTGATATCTAGATTATTTACTGCATTGTTAGTCTTTAAAAATTATTATAACAAGTTTTGAATATCAATACTAGTATTGGTAAGGGATGTCACTGATTTTGCATAGCATACAAGTAAAATGTAAGTAAGTTTAGGAAACAAAATCTAAAGGCTGGTAATTATTAGACATATTTTTAGAGAGATAAGTATAGAAAAAGATATCTGGAAAGTGGAAAAATGTTAACAGCTACTTAAATGATAGAAATGTTTAGGTTTGGGGAAAGAGGATATACTGGTTACTTACTACCATCAAGAGGATGAAGGTTGGTAGGTAAATGGTTTTTACTGGAAAGGGTACAAACTTGGGTGACAGGAATCTGCCTTCTAGTACTAGCTCTGCAGTTAACTAGTTTAAAAAATAATAATTTTAATCTCTTAAACGGAATGATGTTTGTTTCCGTTTCTGAAGTTCTCTGATGATAATGGAACATTAGTAAGTTTTCCAGGTGGGGAGAGGTAGGTCAAAGATGAAAGAAATGATTGGTCTGTTCTGCTCTGGGAGAGTCGTGAAGCAGAAGGAGTTCTTACCCTGTGGATCAGGCTCAAAGGGAAACCACTGTTAAGCCACAAGAAATTGGGAATCTGGTTCAGGTAATGAGCAGAGCAAATGACTTCGGCAGACTATTGAATTTGGAATGAAATGATGTAGGTAGAAAATCTGGCTGAGAGTTGACCGTGCATTGAAGTTCAAGCCATAATAGAAGGGATAAAAAGTAAAGGGAGGAACATAGGAGAAGCTTAGAGTAGGAGGCCCAAACTCTAGATTTGAGGAATAAGAGACAGTAAGCCTTCAAAAAGTTTTTGTTTTAGGGTTTGAAGAAGTAGTATTACAGTCTGGAATGGGATGGGGAAGCTGGATATGAAGGTCATGGCCAGAAAACCAAGCTATCCTTATGTGATAAGCTGGTGGCCTGAACCAGCTTATATCAGGCTTTTTTTTTTTTTATTGTACTTCAGGTGAAGGCTTACAGAACAAATAGTTTCTCATGAAACAGTAGTACACATATTGTTTTATGACATTGGTTAACAACCCCACAACATGTCAACCCTCTAACTTTTCAACCTTTTTTTATGGTGAAAATACGCATAGCCAAAGATACACCATTTCAAGAATTTCTGCATGCACAGTTCAGTGACATTGACTACGCTCTTCCAGTTGTGCTGCTATTCTCACTTTAGATGAAGGCTTACAGAACAAAATAGTTTCTCATTTAACAGTTACTACACATGTTGCCCTATGACAATGGTTAACAATCTCACAACACATCAACAATATCCTTACTCAACCTTGGGTTCCCTATCACCAGCTTCCTTGTCCCCTTCTGCTTTCTGGCCCTTGTCACTGGACTCCTGTACCTCATTAGTCCCATTTGGTTTTACAGGGCTCTTCACTCCCAGGCTGAATGGTGAACCTTGGAGATAACTTCACCACTGAGCTAAAAGGGTGTCTGGGGGCCATACTCTTGAGGTTTCTCCAGTCTCCTTTAGGCCAGTAAATCTGGTCTTTTTTTTTTTTTTGTGAGTTAGAATTATGTTCTACATCCTTGTCCAGCTCTGTCTAGAACCCTCTGTTGTGATCCTAGTCAGAGCAGTCAGTGGTGGTAGCCGGGCACCATCTCGCTGTACTGGACTCAGTCTGGTGGAGGCCTGGGTAGCTGTGGACAATTAGTCCTTCAGACTGATCTTTTCCTTGTATCCTGTTCTCTTCATCCTCCCTTGCTCCCGAAGGGATGACACCAGTGGAGTATCTTAGATGGCTGCTCACAGGCTTTTAGGACCCCAGACGCCACTCACCAAGGTAGAATGTAGAACATTGTCTTTATAAACTGTGTTATGCCAGTTGAGCTAGATGTTCCCCAAGACAATGGTCCCCACAGCCCTCAGAGGCATTTTTTGTGTGAAACTGGCACGGGGATTTTTCCTTTTGTATATATCTGATGGTTGAGTCTCTGATAGCTGGCGAAATTGGCCAGCATCTTAGGAAGAGAGTTTGATTTGGAGCTGTGGGTAGGGTGTTCCTTAGCCAGTGCAAGCCAGTTTGAGGTGTTCAGAGGAATCCTGTGGTCTGATGTGTAATTATTTTCCCCTTTTGCTGGGACATATACCTGCTCGTTAATTCCAAGGCAAAATCTGTTAAATTTGTTTTATATGGTTTCATGTGCTGCCTTCCTCTGATGTGAAAAAAAAAAAAAAAAGCTTTTATTTTTATAGCTTCTTTGCATGTTCCTTAGCAGGGGCAGATTAAGCAGTAAGCAAAGTACGCAGGGGCTTAATTAATCAGAGAGGTGAAATTGCACCCTACAGATTAGTAAGTAAGCCCCAGCGTACATTACTTATTGGGTAGTCCATCCGTATTCCTCCAGAGAGCTTAAAACATTCTGCATTTATCTCTTGGGAGAGAGAATTATTTGTTTTAGGTGAATAAATTGAGGCATAGAAAGATTGAGCTCTCTTTCTCAGGATCACATAACTGTAGAGCCAGTACTTCATAACTATCTCCTTAGTTTCTTCATTTGGCTTCTGCAGGGTAACCTTTCTATTTGTGTGACCCTACCCTTTTGAAAATCTTAAGTTGCCAAGAAAACAAGATAGCACTATGAAAAGGAACAGATCAGTTCCTGTCCCGTTCCTGTCTACAACCCTGGTTAGAGCGGCCGCTTCTCCATGGCTAGCTGAGTTTCTGAAACGATTGTTCTTTTGATATGTTTTCTGCTTGGTGTTTTCAGGTTTTTTTTTTTTTTTTCCTAAGGACATTCGTTTTCGGTGACCTCTGTACACTACACTCTTAATGGAAGGCTGCAGAGATTTTAAAAGTAAATAAAATCTCTCCACTTTGCCTAGAGCAGTTCTAGGCTGGAGTGACTTTGACCATGCAGAGAGGATGCTGAAACAATTTCTTCACAAAGAAACTCGTTGTCATGGTTATCTTTCTTTCAGTTTCCATAGCATCAAAAATGAGTAAATCCTTCGAATTAAAAACAAAAGCTAAAGCCCGGCTCCCTCCTACAGTTTTTTTGACTTCTTTCGTTTCCTGTAAACTTACGATTTTTCATAGCATCATGCTTTTGACTGGTTGGACACTTCGATCTGGGAAGAGTACTCACAGTGCCACCCTGAAGCTAGAGAACAAATCATGGCTATTTAGCCAGATTGTTCTGTTCTAAATCTCTCTTTTTTCTTTTTCTTTCCTTATTCTTAAACTTTGGACCTATGGGCTTATTTAAGAGGTGAATGGCTCTGAATGAAATAAGAACATATCACTGGTGTTGGTAGCCCCAGGTGACTCTGGTTAGGCCACATTCCCACCCTGAATCTTTGGTTTCCCTGAGATTGAACTTGGCCCTAGGATACAAGGAATTGCCTCATTCCTGTTGCTGCTATGACTGAGTGTTGAGTAGTAATTTAGGGAAGTAGCCTGGGTAGGAGAAGGAAGCCATCCCTGATGGTGCTTTAAAAAGGAGAGGGGAGGCATTGATACTCCGAGGAACCTTAGGTTCAAATATATAGCATTTTACTAAGGTGAAGCAGATTGAACTGCCTAAACCTTGCACATAACCCCCGTAGCTGCCCTTTTGGATTTATTTTCCGGTGCTCTAAATGTTCATTTAACCATGATTTTCCCTCTTTACACATGTTCAGAGGGGAAAAAACATATGCAGTGGGTTTGCTTTACCTCTGGAAATTTTCTGGGGTTTCCTCAGGGCACCATGCCCTCCTAAGGATCATTTTTCTTGTGGTGCAACCAGAAGAATAACGTAGAAATGGTTGTTCAGCCTTACAAACAGCTGTCTTTGTAAGAACTCTGAATTGGCTTCAGATAAAGGAAGAGGAATGCTGTTTTCCTTTGGATTACCATTGTGCTAGGAAGCCGTGGCTTGTCATTTTTCAGTGTGCGTTTTTAAAGCTGAGTTTTAGGTGACATTTTCTGGAATTCGGGAGGTAGATTGTTACCTTAAAGATCTGATTCTTCTTCTAATCCTCTTCCTGCTCCCAAGTGATTGGGAGGATGTATTTAGAAATAAAAGATAGGAAGATGTGGGGTAGTATTGTCTGTAAGGATTGTTACTCTGTTGAATTCTCATTATACTGAAGCTTCATAAGGAGCAATCCTTCTGTATACCTTTAGCCTTTACTACTTGAGGAACACTAGAAAATGACTTCACTACGTGTTTTCTTTTCAGTCCCTAAAGTAGTAAATGTATGTGATAGTGGTTTTTGTCTTTTTCCTATTGTTGTTTCAAAGTTAGAAAAACAAAAAAAAACTTTCTCTCTTTCTTTCCAAATGAGAATCTCTTTGATTTCTTATTAGCTATGTCTGCATTACTCTGCTCTCACTTGCTGTGACCATCTGGATCTTTTGGAGAATATAACTTTGTATACTTTCCTACTCTTAAAGGAAACTGGTGGTGACAAAAGAGAAGGAGAAGAAAGTGGGGCTGTATACAATCTATGTGAATCCTGCCAATACCCACCAGTTTGCAGTAGGCGGACGAGATCAGTTTGTAAGGTGAGTCTATGGTTCTTTTATGTCTTTGAGAGTTTGAGACTGTGATGCATTGTATATTACCAGGCTCTCCGTTACTGAATTGCCTAGGACTATCTTGACTTTTTTACTATCTATCAAAGAACTTCAGCTCCTTTTTCTGAGACATTCAGTTCCCTAATGTAACAGTCTCTGAGGAACAGCTTTACAGAAGATAGATTATCAAGTTTTAGAGAGGTTTAATGAATTGACCACGGTCTCCACATAGCAGCTAAGGCATAAGCCCAGGTTTACCAGTAGGTAAACCTTAGAAGGGAGGATGGCAAGATTTTGTCTTACGTACTTTGGACATGTTACCAGGAGGGACCAGTCCCTGGAGAAGGACATCATGCATGGTAAAGTAGCGGGTCACTGAAAAAGAGGAGGACCCTTAACGAGACGAATTGACACAGTGCCTGCAACAATGGGCTCAAGCATAGCAACAGTTGTGAGGATGGCGCAGGACCAGACAGTGTTACTTTCTGTTGTACATAGGGTCACTGTGAATCAGAACTGACTCAGCAACACCTAACAACAGCAACATCAGCAAGTGTTGTATTAGTAAATATTTTTCATATATAAATTAACATGGGCTAGAAATTTTGAATGCTGGTTTGGATTCAGAAATAGCTTGACTTGGGAGCACTCAGTGTGAACTCGGTTTTTGGCTCCTGCTGCCCTGACCACTGTCCTTTATCTGTGGTGATATCTTTGTTACTGTGAACGTCTGTTGTAACTGATTATGGAGGCACATCCTGAGACGTGAACAGAGCTCATGGATTCAATCTCCTTATGTCCAGTTAGCTTCCTTCTGATCCTTTGTTGTAAACTGTGTCCCATCTCTACCCAGTTGGCATGTTTTAGCTATATTTCTTTGGTTGTTGCCAGGAGTATCATCAGTTTGAAAGGGAGGAGGGGGAGAATCACAAGAAGAATGAGTAGCTTTTTTTTTTCTTTTGGGCTGAACCTGGGAAGCTTTTTGCTTTCTTGATAGTGGGTGAAAAACATCGTCTTCCTTTATAAATGAGAGCACGTTTTTATAACTACAGGCATATTTCATTTTATTGTACTTTGCTTTATTGCGCCTTGCAGATACTATTTTTTACAAATTGAAGGTTTGTGGCAACCCTGCGTCGAGCAAGTCTGTCGGCACCATTTTTCCAATGGCATGCGCTCGCTTCATGTCTCTGTGTCACATCTTGGTAATTCTTGCAATATTTCATACTTTTTCATTATTATATCTGCTGTGGTGATCAGTGATCTGTGATCAGTGATTTTTGATGTTACTATTGTAATTGTTTTGGGGCGCCACGAACCGTGCCCATATAAGGCAGCGAACTTAATCGATAAATGTTGTCTGTGTTCTGACTATTCCACCGACCAGCTGTTCCCCCGTCTGTCCCTCTCCTCGGGCCTCCCTATTCCTTGAGACATGACAGTATTTAAATTAGGCCAGTTAATAGCCCTGCAGTGGCCTCTAAGTGTTCAAGTGAACAGAAGAGTTGCACTTTAAATCAAAAGCTAGGAATGAGTAAGCTTAGTGAGGAAGGCATGCCAAAAGCCTAGATAGGCCGAAAGCTAGGCCTTCTGCGCCAAACAGTTAGCTAAGTTATGAATGCAAAGGACAAGTTGTTGAAGGAAATTAAAAGTGCTACTCCAGTGAACACACAAATGATAAGAAAGAAAAACAGCCTTATTGTTGATAAGGGAGAAAGTTTTAGTGGTCTGGATAGAAGATCAAACCAGCCACAACATTCCCTTAAGTGAAAGCCTAATGCAGAGCAAGGCTCTAACTCTTCAGTTCTGTGAAGGCTGAGAGAGGTAAGGAAGCTGCAGAAGAAAAGTTTGAATCTAGCAGAGGTTTAAGGAAAGAAGCCATTTGTGTAACATAAAAGTACAAGGTGAAGCAGATGGTCCTGATGTAGAAGCTGCAACAAGTTATCCAGAAGATCTAGCTAACATAATTGATGAAGGTGGCTACACTAAACAACAGATTTTCAATGTAGATCAAACAGCCTTATATTGGAAGAAGACGCCATCTAGGACTTTGATAACTAGAGAGAAGAAGTCAGTGCCTGGCTTCAAAGCTTCAAAAGACAGGCTGATTTGCTTGTTAGATGCTAATGCAGCTGGTGACTTTAAGTTGAAGCCAGTGCTCATTTACCATTCTGAAAATCCTAGGGCCCTTAAGCATTATGCTAAATCTACTCTGCCTGTGTTCTGTAAATGGTACAACAAAGCCTGGATGACAGCACATCTGTTTACAGCATGGTTTACTGACTATTTTAAGCCCACTGTTGAGACCTACTGCTCAGAAAAAAAGATTTCTTTCAAAATATTACTGCTCACTGACAGTGCACCTGGTCACCCAAGAGCTCTGATGGAGATGTATAAGGAGATAAATGTTGTTTTCATACCTTCTAACACAACATCCATTTTGCAGTCCATGGATCAGGGAGTAATTTTGACTTTCAAGTCATATTATTTAGGAAATACATTTCATAAGGTAATAGCTACCATAGATGGTGATTCCTCTGACGGACCCGGGCAAAGTAAATTAAAAACCTTCTGGAAGGGATTCACCATTCTGGATGCCATTAAGAACATTCGTGATTCATGGGAGGAGATCAGAATATCAACATTAACAGAAGTTTGGAAGAAGTTGATTCCAACCTTCATGGATGACTTTGAGGGGTTCAAGACTTGAGTGGAGGAAGTAACTGCCGATGTGGTGGAAATAGCAAGAGAACTAGAATTAGAAGTGGAGCCTGAAGATGTGATTGAATTGCTGCAATCTCACGATAAAACTTCAATGGATGAGGAGTTGCTTCTTACGGATAAGGAAAGAAAGTGGCTTCTTGAGATGGAATCTACTCCTGGTAAAGATGCTGTGAACATTGTTGAAATAACAACAAAGGATTTAGAATATTACAGCGGCAGGGTTTGAGAGGATTGACTTCAAATTTTGAAAGAAGTTCTACTGTGGGTAAAATGCTATCAAACAGCATTGCATGCTACAGAGAAATCTTTTGTGAAGGGAAGAGACTATCAAGGCATGTACATTGTTTTTTAGGCATAATGTCGCACACTTAATAGATTAGAGTATAATGTAAACGTAACTTTTATATGCTCTGGGAAGCCAAAAAATTCGTGTGACTTGCTTTATAGCAGTGGTCTGGAACCGAACCCACAATATTTCTGAGGTTTGCCTGTATCTTGAGGTTAAATTTATTAATAAGAATCATAGGGATAGAATAAGCTTATAGAAAATGTGAGAGATGACCTTGCCTGTTCCAGACTCTTGCCACAAGAGAATTGGACAACCTTGTTCTCTGCTTCCCTTGCCCCCACAATTCCTTTCCTCTCTTCACCAGTTGTCAAATACATAGCGATAGTTTTTTTTAATAAGGAACTATTGATCAAAATGAGTTTCAGGGGATATCCTCTCTACATCAAGCATTCACTAAAATTTCTAATTGGGATTTCCTAGTTAAAGCTCTAGATTGCTGTATCCCTAGAGAATTCCGTCACTATGACCTAGATGTTTGGTGGGGAATGGAAGAGTTGGCTATGTTGAAAACTGCAGTTGATAATGCCTTATTCCAAAGCTGATACTTCCCAGGATTAGAGTAAGTGCAAATTAGTTTCAGCATTTCAGACAATAGGAGAGAGATTCTGTATCTTCTCTTATCAGCCTCAGTATCCTCTGTTCCTTTGTGCATCTCAAGTTCTCAGCAGATAACAGGATATTGACTTGGCAGAAGCATGTGCACATTTTGAAGCACACCGATACTGCGTGAGCAGACAGTCCTTTCAGCATGCCAGCTCTGCTATGACCTGATGCCTTTGGTCACCCTCAACTTCTCTGGCACCTCTTCAGTTCAGCCAACTGAACATTTTGGATTTCCTTCTTTCTGATTCCTTCTTTGAAGAACCTGAAGAGCTCATCCTCCCATACAAATTCGAAAACACTTGTGCTGAATATTTTGTATCATAACACCATTAGCTTTCTCTCCTAGCCTGAAGGAATTCCGTTAAGGAATACCGAGAAATAGCTTACTCATCCTCAAGGCTTTTGTATCATGAATAACTGAATTTTAGTTTAGGATCGTGTGGAAGTATTTAAGAAGAGTCTGTGGGAAAATAATGGCCTATGGCCAAAAGGAAAAAAAGTAGTCGTCAAGCGGAGGAGGCATAGGTTCCAGTCCCTGCTACTAAATCCTGCTTAGGTTGGTTTAGGAATTTACAGGAGTGGAGAAGAGGAGGATGCATCAGATGAACCCTGTGGTTGTAGATGTGACACTGTGATTGGTTGACATGTAAATTTATTGCGGAAGGATTTGGTATATGCTGTGGTTCATAAAACACAGTCAGTAAATAGTCCCTTTGCTCCCTGAGATCAGCAACACTGAAAGGACACTAGATTGAGGGCAGCTGCAGAAACGCTGGTGGTGAGGAGAGATGAGAGAGACTTAAAGTAGCTAGTGGGTACCTGAAGGTCTGTGGATAAAGGAGCAGTAAGTAAGGGTGTTCGAAGGGCGCTGAAACCATACTTTTTTAATATAAAATGTCAAGGGTCCGCCCTATGCCCAGGAAACGGGAAATTCATATTCATCTTTGTATCAACATTGTCTAGCGCAAGAGTTGGCAAACTATGCTTATGATTAAATTTTTATTGAAGCACAATCATGGCCGTTTGTTTACATATTGTCCCTGGCTGCTTTCATGCAGCAGAGACTAGATGGCCTGCAAGCTTGAAATATTTGCTATCTGGCCCTTTAAGAAAAAGTTTGCGAACCGTTGTTTAGCATCGTATCTAAAATCTAGTGGGTTCTTAATAAATACCGGAGCCCTTGTGGCACAGTGGGTAAGAGCTCGGCTGCTAACCACAAGTTCAGCAGTTTGAATCCACCAAGCTACTCCTTGGAAACCGTATGGGGCAGTTCTCCTCTGTCCTATAGGGTTGCTATGAGTCGGAATCGACTTGACGGCAACGAGTTTGGTTTTGGTTTTCTGGTTTAATAAATACTAAGGAGCCCTGGTGGTGCTATGGTTAAGTGCTCAGCTGCTAACCGAAAGGTCAACAGTTCGAACGCACAAACTGTTCCATGGGAGAAAGACCAGGCCATCTGCTCCTATAAAGATTACAGCCTAAGAAACCTTTATAGGGTCTCTGTGAATCAGAATTGACTCAGTGGCACACGACAACAACAACAAATACTTGAAGAAGAAAGGGAAGGATATTCCGTAAGGAAGAAGGGCAAAGAGCATTAGCTACTGAGGAACACAGAATGGTCCATACACTAAAAAAGCAGCCTGTGGAGCTTAAATATTTAGTTGTTTTATTTTTTTTACAAAATTACTGACTTGATGTAGTTTATGATATTAGTGACATTTGAGAGCTATTGATTTAGATTAGTTTTGATAAATTTTTTTTATCATCAGCTGATAAATTTCCTAAGGAGTAGCGATTGGCTATGCAGCAGTCTCTTTTTTGGGGGGGAGGGGGTTCATTTAGCAAACATTTCTTGGATAGTCTCTTTATGCATTGTACGAAGGGTATTAAGCAAGGGACTGTGGAGACTACAAAGATGTATTCATTAATTTATTCTTTAATTCAGCCACATTTACTGAGCATTTGCTCTGTGCTAGATCCACACTCTGCTAGACATAGTCTCTGCCTTCAAGGGACATTCTGGAGAAACAGATATTTAAGGATCAAAGATACGAAGTAACTTACCCAGTGTTACTCAGCAAGTAAGTAGCAGAGTTAGTATTTGAATTCAGGTGAGACTCCTAAAATACAGTGGAAACATTTTACTGTGCTGTTCTTCCTCGCAGAGGAGATGTCAAGGACAAAGAGGAAATTAGCATTTCAGATAGAGGGAACCATAGGTGTGGAGGTAAGATACGAGATGTGAAAAGAGCATGGTATGTTGAAGTATTACTTTTTTTGTTTGTTTGGTGTACTGTATAAGATCTTTGAGGAAGAGTGGCAGGCAGCCATACAAAGGAATTTCGGCTAGTACAAAATTACTGAAGAGGTGTAAACAGGAAATTTCTGTGAAATCTTGCAGTTTAGACATAATTCTGGTGACAGTATGAGCAAGGAAATAGAAGGATACCGCAGCAATCTAGGCAAAAAATGGCAGAGAGTGGAGAAGAGGTATAGTCAAGAAATATTTGCAGGGAGTAGAATTGACTGGAAAGAAATTAGCTGTACAGGAGAGAAAGGACTGGGTTTTTGGTTTGACTACCTGAATTTAGGATACTACCATTAATAGGAAAGGAGCCCTGGTGGTGCAGTGGTTAAGCGCTTGGCTGCGAACTGAAAGTTGGCGGTTCAAATCCACCAGCGGCTCCTGGGCGAAAAGACCTGGTGATGTGCTTCTATAAAGATTACAGCCTAGAAAACTCTGTGGGGCAGTTCTGCTTTGTCACGTGGGGTCACTGTGAGTTGGAATAGACTCCACGACACCTAACAACAACAACAACAGCTTATCTATATGTAGGTGATAGTTAAAGCATTAGTAGTGGAATTTGATTTCCAAAGGAAAGTCTAGAGCAGGATCCTAGATCCCCTCTTTTTGGGTCTTTGGTCTCTTTGCAAATACAGTGAAGACTGGTCCCTTCTCCCAAGAAAAGCGCACAAGCAAAAATTTCTTCCCAGTTTCAGGGTGTTCACATACTACTTAGACTCTAGGTTTAAAATCTTCCGTTTATAGTCAGAGCAGAACTTGAGGCTGGGTCTTCGGGGAACATCAATGTTTAAGGGATAGACAAAAGATGAGCGCGTGGACAACACTGAGAAGTGGTTGGATATTAAGGAGAAATGGTATTTTAGGAAAGAAGTAGTGAACAGTGTCAAGCCGATAGAGAAAGTCTTGAAAAGTATCTTGTTGGCTTTGGCAGTTAGGTTACTGATGACTTCACAGGCGTTTCAGTGGTGAGGTGAAGGCCAAAGCTGTATTCGGATGGGCTAAGTGAGTAGGACGTGAGGACATGAAAGTATTGAAGGTAGATTGTTCTTTTCAGTAATTTCACTGCAAGGAGAAGGAAGGAGGAAGCAGTAGGAAAGGACAGTCAGTAGAATGAGAATTTTTTAAAAATGAGAGACAGTGATGAGGAAGAGGTTGAGAAATGGACTAATCAGACAAGGTCCCTGAAGGGATGAGATTAAGAATGGCTATGGGAAGATGAGGCTCTGAGACTGGAGGAGACTGATGTGTGAGGACAGGGACTGGATCCATCTTGTTCCTCACTGTGCTTCCAGCACCTAGCATAATACTTGGCACATGACATATGCATCAATTTGAATGGAGGATTAATTTAGAAAAGCTTGGGTTAGAGAGAAGAGAGAAGATGAGAGGAATTTGATGCTTAATGAGAATAAAGGAAGGAGAGAGGGAGTGTTGGGGAGAAAGGTGGTGGTTTATAATAGTGGTTATGAGATATGAGAGGGAGAACTGGCCAAATAAAAAGATTTCAAGGACAGATTAAAGACTCACTGACTTCTATAAAGCATGGTCTCTACCTGTGAGTAATGAACCCCACTAGGGAGGTAACATAGGTAAGAAAGCTCTATAATGTTAATTGTTTTAGTGAAAATAAACAGTAAGTGATATAAAAATTGAGAGGTGAGATAGTCACTTCAAAGTTACAGAATTGAGGATTGCCACTTGAAATAGGAAGGACCTGGATGAAAGAGTTAGGGTTTGGAAAGGGATTGAGGAAGGAGGACCTTCAAGGTAGGAGGAAGAAAATGAACCAGAAGCTTGGTTGGGAAAACATCCTTTTTCTGCCCTTACTTCCAGCTGGCTGTTGTTCTTGCTACTATATTAAATTGTTACTCTTCAAGGGGTCCACTTGTTAGTTTTGACATCTTCATTGCTTCTTCACCACAGGATTTATGACCAGAGGAAAATTGATGAGAATGAGAACAATGGAGTACTCAAGAAATTCTGTCCTCATCACCTGGTAAGATTCATGAAGAGCCAGTGGCTCCAAGAGTCCCTGACTCACCCCAAGGCTGCCCCTGAACTTGTTGGTATGGTAGGAAGAGCTTGGACTTTTGACTACTTTTGAGTCCGACATCTGGATTTGAATCCTGGCTCTACCATTTACCAGCTCTGTGATTTTGGGCAGTCACTTCACCTCTCTTGCCTCAGTTTCCTTACTGAGGAAACAGAGGTAACGATAACTGCCTTGCATCATGATGGCGAAGACCTAAAAAAAAGATAATGTGTGTATAAAATGCCTAGCACACAGAAGACACACAGCAGAAATCCCTGGGACTCTTCTCCCTGAGGTGGTCACGTTTCATTGGTTGTACTCCTGTCTTTGTTTCTCAATCTCTGGAGAAAATATAGGGGACTGTGAAGGAAAACCTGTTTCCTGAAGGTGGTATGACAAATGGGGGGGGTGGGGCATCAGTCAGTATCTGCTCCTTATTGCAGGTGAACAGTGAGTCCAAAGCAAACATCACCTGTCTTGTGTACAGCCACGACGGCACAGGTATGTGAGCAGGGCCCAGCTCCTAGGCTGGCATGCCCCCTCTGTCCAGGGAGCTGCTGAGCCAGTGAGGCATGTGCCCTCCAGAGCTCACCACTGTGCTATAGCTCCAAGCGGAGCAGCTGGGGACTAGTTGCTGATGGTGAGCACGTAGCGGGAGGATGCAGCAGATAACCCATGGAGATGCCAGGCACCACTTGGCAGAATGCTGTAGGTGATGTTTGGCAGGGCCTGTCCTGAAGGCCAGGCTACTTGCCTGAGCAGGTTCTTATGCCTTTGACTCATTCCTGAGTTAATAAGTGTGATTTTCCTGAGTGTTCTGCTACCCCTAGGTTGGCAGTGTGTTCCTAGCCTGTCCTAGACAACCTGACTTGCCTGCCTTTCTGAGTAAAATGGGTGCTATACCTGGGTATTAGGAGGGGGCACTACTGGCAAGAAGCCCCGCCCCAACCCCCAACTCCTGGTCCCAGCTTTTTTCAGCCTTTGCCTTCACTGCTGTGTGCTTGTTCTTGGCAGAGCTCCTGGCCAGTTACAATGATGAAGACATTTACCTCTTCAACTCTTCTCACAGCGACGGGGCCCAGTATGTTAAGAGATATAAGGGCCACAGAAATAATGCCACAGGTGAGGCTGTCTTCCTAGGTTTCCATGGCCCAAATCTGTTTGCTTGGAGAACCACAGTATCTTCATTCAGTTTGTGCAGATAGGAACTATCTAAAGGAGTAGCTGCCTGCCTGTCACCGTGGGCAGTGGGAGGTTAGCCCCAGTTGGCCTGGAGCTTTCAAGAGTCCACTGTGTCTGAGGGAAAGAGGGCTGCGGAGCAGCTTCCACCACTGCAGTCATGTTGCTTCTAATTGACTTGGGCATATGGAAATGAGGCTGGCTCTTCTTTTTTTTTCTTTTTAATGATTATGATTCCAGGTAACTTCAGAATAGGCATAGGGCTTGTTAGGGAGTCAGGGAAAGCCCCCTTCAGTCAATGGTACTGAACTACCTAAAATGGGGAGTGAGCAGGACAGAGGAGAATGATGGTACCTGGCCCAAGTCACAGTGAAGAATGGCCTTTTTCGTTGTATGTCCCTGGTTCCCAAACTTGGCTGCATGTTGGAATCACTTGACAGTCTTTCAGAAATGCTGAAGACTGGCTCCCATCACATACATTCTAATTTAATTGTTATGGGGTGCAACTTGAATCTCAGGATTTTTTAAAAGCTCCCCAGGTGATTGTAACGTGCAGAAAAGTTAGGGAATCGCTGCTCTTTGTTATCACACTCTTGACATACATCTGTCGTAATTTTGAGTGGGAGAGAACAGTTGGATTGTTTTCCTTTTTCTCTTGAACTGGTGAAGAAAGAGGGAAAAGCATGTACTTGGATCTCAGTCCACTGGCAGACAGAGGAAAGAGTGCCAGTGTCATAGCAAGTATGGGACTGCCTGTAGTAGTGAGGGCTTCTGGCTTCTCTCACTAACCGCAGAGTGGAGCCCTGCTGTTCAGAGTCCTGGTGGCAAGCACAGTTCAGATGCTGCTGCTCATAGGCAATTATGGCATCTGTCTCCACCAATCTCAGGTCAGCTAACGACCCAAGAAACATTGATAAGGAACCAATGAATCACACATACCAAGGATAATTCTTTGGTGTAGGACAGTGCTACCTAGGAGTAGGCAGAGCTGGGGCAATTCAGGTTGGGACAGGGGAGGCATTAGTGAGGCCTGTGGCTGCCTGATAGGGTGCAGATGAACCAGATGGAGGGTGTTGCTGAGGGACTGCAGACTCAGCCCAGTGGAGCTCTTTGGGAGAATATAAATAGTCTCTGGGCCTGGTGTGATTCTTTTTCTTATAACTATCTGTTATACATGCATAATCCCTTGATTTGTTTTTGTGAAAGTGAAACAGATTCTTTGGTTCTCAGCTGATTTAGAGTTTGTGACTAACTGAATTCCCTGTGAGGTAAGTATAGAGAAGCCTGATGCCAGCACTCATGTGGTTTGTTCCCCTCATTTATCATTCCAGTAAAAGGTGTCAATTTCTATGGCCCCAAGAGTGAGTTTGTGGTGAGCGGTAGTGACTGCGGGCACATCTTCCTCTGGGAGAAATCATCCTGCCAGATCATTCAGTTCATGGAGGGGGACAAGGGAGGAGTGGTGAGTATGGTGTACTGGGCTGGCTGGCTTCCTTTTCTCTCCAGTCTTTAAGGTAGGTTTTACCAGGGCCCCTGAATTCTCATTGTGACAGCATGATATCTTGCTTTCTTAGAGGTCCAGCCAGCTAAGTGAAAAGGCTGTATAGCCTAGGGGTGCTGAGGTTTTGGTGGCATATTTCCTCCCTCTTCCTGTCTTCTGCCCCTCTAAGACATCGTTTATTGAGAATTGAAAGGAATTTTAGGGAAGAAACTCTGGCCTGAGTGAGATAACATTTCTAGGTATCGACCTTTTCCAAAGAAAACCATTAGAGGTCAGGGCACCCCCTTCAACACAGTAACAAAGATGTCTCCATGTCACATCCCTAAGAGTAGCCTGACTGGATCCTGGATCAGGGGGGTAAGAGCTACAAAGAACATTTTTTGGACAATTGGGAAAATCAGAACATGATCTGTAATTGGATAATATGGTTTCAATGTTGAATTTATTTGGTGTGTATGGCAAAATGTATGTTTAAAAAAAAGTGGCTGAACTGGCCGCTGTACAACCCATGATTGTATCACAGCCTGTCTGTCCCTTGAATTCTGCAGACAGCCTCTGTGGAGATGGGGCAGAAAGTAAGAGTGGGGATCCTGAGTAATGCAGTGAAGAGTGGTCAGCTCTTCAGCTGTATGTAGCTAACCATATCTTTTTTTTTTTTTCTTTTTCGAGACCTAGAGTTAGGAAGGAGTTCAACAGCTTTCTGTGGCAAGTTTTTTGGACCCCAGAAGATATGAAACAGACAGCTTGGGAGGCTTAGATATTATTTGTTACCAAGATAGTACTGGTTACGTAAGGCCTCTAAGGAACTGCTGAGATGGCTTAATCTCTCTGTTTGCATCCCTTCTAAGCTGCGGGGAACCGCAAAGAGCCCGACCATCTCTTGATGTTTATCCAGAGAGTGGTTTTAGAATTGAGAATGATTCCTTGGAATCAGGATCCCATTCCTTCTTGTGTGTTTCTTGCCCTAGTGTGAGGCTATTTCAAATTTCTTTTAAGCTTTTTGGAGATCCAGAGCTTCTGTGGCATATATGCAAGTGGAGAGGATTCTAGAAGTTCAAGGTGTGTCTCACTCTTCCCTGTTTTGTTTCCTGCTCTTGCAGTAAGGGCCTGGTGAACAGGTCCCTCTGTATCATTTGTAGTGAACCAGCCTAAAACGTGATGGAGTCCTAATGAGACTTCTGCAGAGAAGGAAGTCAAAAGGGGCCTTTCTTGATCATAAACTGTTGTCTTACATGCTGTTCCAGAGAGACGGAGGTCTGAGTGCCCTCCCCGAGGCCAGCACATGGCCGGTCTCTACAAGTGTTCTGAGGCCAGTTTCCTTTCAGCTCAGCCAGTACTGGGGTTTGCTGATTAATCCAGGTGCTCAGATGGGAGGAGGGGGTCATTGACTTTGGATGAGTGGGCCCAGGCCTTCGTTTTAGGGGTCATAAGAATGAGGGATGACAACAGAAAGGTATAGCGATTACACCCTGAAGTGAGTTTCCTGACTTGTTTTTGCTTCTGTATAAGCTGAGTGATCCATGTGGTCCCTGATTAGTTCCCTCTGTTCTTCTTGTCCTAACCTCCAAGCACTGGGATCAACTGATACCAACCTCAGTACAGACTCATAGCAGTTCCAGATTATGAAATAGAATGTTACAATTAGAAGGGATCTTAGAGATTATTGTCCACTTGCCCAGGTCTCTTAACTCTGTTTTTAGCTTGGACTGTAGAACCGTCTTCGTTCTCATACATCTTCACGGGGACAGGGGTGGGGGATATGCCGAAGGACAGCTCCTTAATCTCCCAAAAGCACTTGCTGCTTTCTCACATTCCCTGTATTCCCCTCAACGGGAAGACTCTTAATGAGATGGATTGACCCAGTGACTGCAACAGCAGGCTCAAGCATAACGATTGTGAGGATGGTGCAGGACCGGGCAGTGTTTCGTTTTGTTGTACATAGGATCATTATGAGTCAGAACCAGCTCGATGGCACCTAACAACAACAGCATCCCCTAGCCCAGGATTCTTAAGACCAGAGTTCTTTATGGACAGGCATTAGTCACATAGCCTTTGATATTCCTAAGCAATAGAGTTTCTGTCTGGTGCCTCATGCTCTGGGGTCAGATGCTGGAGCCTCCTCCTCACTGCCTAAAAGAGCCCACATAGAAAGTTTGCAGTGAGCTAACATCTGTGGAGTCGGGGAAGGAGGAAAGAAATGGGATTTCTGCTTTACTCTTAGGCTCAGACTTAATTTCAGTCTTTTTCGAGCTTTTTTTTTTAATGGAAGCCAGAGAAGGTTGGCAGTGTATGGGTCAGGCTTTATTTTCCATGCCTGCCCCCTGGCTTTTCCAGAGCTGCTCTCTCTGTGCAGGTCGGAGAGGGGAGAGGGTTTAGTCCAAAGAGAGAATGATAAGGCTTTTTGCCAGAGGCTATTTCCCTGTCTCCAGTCTTGGACTACAGGGCAGTTTCAGGATGGGTGGGGTGAGGTGAGGTGAGCGGCTGGAACCACACCTTTTTCCTTCTGAGTTCCTTTACTATCTGTTCCTCATCTGATTAAAAGCCTGAAAATGCTTCAGCAGCTTGATCTGGGACCAGCTCTTCCGGTGGGGATGGGCCCTGCCCTGCCCTGTGTTTGGGAAGCTGGTATTTCCAAGTTAGACAGTAGGGGGCATGGACGCCTTCAGACTGAAGGGAGCTGCCTGAGCCAGAAGGCCTGCCTGCCATAGTTCATTTCTCTTGCTCAGTGAATGTACCCAGAGGGTGGCTAGATTGAGGCTGTGGGGGTCCCCGGGAAGCTGCTTTGCTATTCTGTGCTGCCCTACAGCTGAGCATATTGTGCTTTCAGGGCTGGTAGCAGGATGCTGTCCCCTGAGATGTACAGGATCCTTGAGCAGACATGAGCCTCCACTCCCTCCCTTACCCCCAGCTCAGACTTCTCTTCCCAGCCTATGCCTTCCTCCCGTTCTAGTACAGCGCCAAGTAAACGTAATTGTTCTCTGACTCTTCTCTGGGGGCTTAGCGGCAGCTACTGCTTTCTTCATTTTTTTAAATTTATTGGCCACTTGGTAAAAGACACTGAATCGGTTTTTTTCCAGCCTTGGGCAAGTTAGAGCTTTGGACTCTGGAGTGAATGAGGTCACCTAGACCTCATTGCCTTCTTGTGAAGCCAGCAGTAAGCTTGGCCAGTCACCCGCCCACTCCTAGGGCTATGTCTGGGGTTGGAGCCACCCCTGACTTAAAGGTAGGAAGTGATAGATGGGCCTGGTCTTACACCCAGTCTGTGTCCAGTGTTTCTGCCACCCCAGGAGGCCCTTTGGCCTGGGCTAATTATGTGTGGGCTTGCCTTTCCAGCAGCTGCGCTAGTCCTGATTGAGGGCAGTTGATTGACTCAGGTTGAATGGTTTTTAAACACTTGTTTCACACAGCCCTGAGCCTGTGTTTTCCTTCTCTCCAACCAGGTAAACTGTCTTGAGCCCCACCCTCACCTGCCCGTGCTGGCAACCAGTGGCCTAGACCATGATGTCAAGATCTGGGCACCCACAGCTGAAGCTTCCACTGAGCTTACAGGGTTAAAGGACGTAAGTGGTTGACTGCAGAAATTCTTTTCTTCTACTTATTCACACCCCATTATGATTCTTTATTGTCATAGGAAGGAATAACTTGCCGCCCAGTTCTTTAAAGGCGCTGCTGTAACACCCTCCCCCACATTCCTGTCATTGCCTCTCTAGGAACAGTCCTGGTGCACGGGGACAGCTTTGAAATGCTTCTAGTTGGTGGTAGAGTGAGGATAGGGGACATCTTTAGGAGGAATCATTCTATTTCAGAGCCTTCCATCTTCTGAGTGGCTGAACCTGAAGCATCTTTTCCTAATCTAGTTCCTTCAGCTTAGCAGCTCCCAAGGGAAGCTTTTATTAGGATAAAACACCAGCCTTCCTGACGAGGTTCAAGGTTCCTATTCATACCCCTACGCTTTTGGGTTTCAGGTGATTAAGAAGAACAAGCGGGAGCGGGATGAAGATAGCTTGCACCACACTGACCTGTTTGACAGCCACATGCTCTGGTTCCTCATGCATCACCTGAGACAGAGGCGCCATCACCGGGTAAGCTGGGCTGGAAAGTGAGCTCCCGAGGGCAGTGACCCTTTCCACAGGCCAAAAAAAGTTCCTCACTACTTCAGGAATCCAGTGGTCTTGGTTAGGTGTCCTATCCATCGTTCCCCATCCCAGTCAGAGCCCTGATGTAGCCTTGGAAGAGCCACCAGCAGAAAGGGGTGGTGTCTGCTTTTTGCTCTGCATTGCCATACATGCATAGTGCTATCTTCATAAAGGCAAAGGCATGAGAGTTGGGAAGGAGTTGAGAAGAAATAGTAAAGTCTCAGGGTGGCCCTTCCGTTTTCCTCTCATACCAGAAAAGTCACAGGGCAGGGGTCAGCAAATCTGCTGCCTGTTTTTATAAATAAAGTTTTATTGGGACACAGCCACACTCATTCATTTATGAATCGTCAGTTTTGGCAGAGCTTAAAACAACACTGTTAAATAGTTGCAAAGGAGACTATATGGCCCATGAGTCTAAAATATTTACTATCTAACCCTTTAAGAAAAAGTTGGCTGACCCCTGGCCTAGGACATCTGAATTCTTGGTAAGACCTAACAGGCTTGTCCTTGTCCCAGCGAAGTTACTAACAAGCCTTTCCCATCCCACAGCGCTGGCGAGAACCTGGGGTTGGGGCCACAGATGCAGACTCGGATGAGTCTCCCAGCTCCTCAGACACGTCGGACGAGGAGGAGGGTCCCGACCGGGTGCAGTGCATGCCATCCTGAGGCCTCACGCCAGGAGGGACGGGCTGGGGCTGCCAACACAATCCTGCCTGGGCAGCTCTTTTTTGTCCCAGGCCCTTAACATTCAGCAGAAATGCACTTTGGACTTTTTGCTTTAGGTAAAAGACAGATATCCCAGGAGAAAGACAAACCAGAGGGAATGAACCATTAACAAGAGTACCTAGGAGTAGGGGTTGACCCCTGGATTTAGTTCCATGGAAGGGTGCACAGGACTCAGCAAAAATGATGAAGTCCTCCCTGAAGCCTTTTTTTTGTGGGGGGAGCCTGTTTTGTTAACTGGTTTGGGGTGGAGAATGGGGTTTCTTTGTCTTTACTCTCCCTTGTTTCTTGGGCGGGGGGGTGGAGGGGCAAATGGCTGTTCATTACTAAGGGGCCAGAGTGGAGGGGGTAGGAGCGTCACTCTCTCTTTGGTTTAGGTTTTTGGCCCTTTTTTCCTTTATTTTTTTAATGTCTAAGACAGTTTCATTGTTTTTTCCCCTGAGCAACCCCATCCCAGGATCCTGTTTTTCTGGGAAGTCCTTAGAGCCCCTAGCCATCCCACACTTCACTTTCCACCTCATCATTCTCTGTACTTATCACGGTGTTTTGCACTTGATTATGTATCCTGCAGTCTCTTCTCTCCATCCCATCACTCCCCCCCACCCCAATTAAGTCTGGTGAGGGTGGCAGGGGAAGGTGGGAGGAGGGGTCGAGGTGGAGGAAGAATAGGAAAGATGTTACATCTGCTACTTAAAAACAAAAGTCTGTGTGGTGACAGCAATCTCCCTGTCCCTATCACTGTTAGAGGCCTAATTTTTTATCTATAAGTATATTAAAAAGCAAGTCAAACTTGGATATATCAAGTTAAAGTTATTGTCAAAGTTTACCTATATATTCTCTATGAATGCAATAAAGGGACTTAAAGAGTTGAGCAAGAGTAATGATGTGGAGGTGACATCTGGGGTCAGCCTACCCCCTGTGGTACGACCACTGGAGATTGAGGCTTGCTCATTTAGGTTTTAAGAGGCTGGAAAATGGAAGAACCCTCACTTCTGCCCTTCCTCCCTTCCCTGCCTTGGGTTTAGGGATTGGGAAAAAAAGGAGATTCCTCTCGACTCTTTGCATCAGATCTCCTGCGTCTCCTTAAGTCTTGTGGGAGTTTCCAGGAAGCTTCTTCTTCCCAGAGGTTGGCCCATCTTTGAAATTTGACTGAATACGACTTCAGGACGGGTGCCACCACTGCAGACTGTCTCTCCTAGTATGTGTGACAGAACACACCTACACACTTACCTTTAGCTGCTTGATTCTTTAAGCCACTCAGCTCCCTTCCTAACAGAGAAGTGAAGGGGAAGACTTCTGCCTTTGGCTTTAAAGCTTGTCCACCTCTTGATAATCTTGGGATTGAAGGACAAGTGGTTAGTCTGAGGATTAATTTGGGTGGCTGGGGCTTGGACACTTCTGTTTAATCATTGGTCACTGAGTGTGAAAGTCCCAGTGGAATTCTTGCCCTTAAATGCTTTTGCTGCTATTTCTTTGCCCCCAACTTCCATAAGATCCAATCAGGAGTCTGCATCCTGGGGCAGTTGGATTCTACTAGATGGAAAGAGGGGAAGAGAGTGACAGGGTGGTATTCCTGGATACCCCTTCCCCTGCCCCTGTTCCTAGCAGCTCGGAGACCAGATGGTAGCTGCTGCACTTCCTCCCCGTGGTAGGGAATGTGTGGTGACTGAGTGCTCTGTGTTCCTATTGCTAGTGGGGTGATGGGTGGGCTGAAAACCATGCACTCTGGAATTTGTTGTATTTTCTCTCAGTAAAGCTTCCCCCCCACCCCCGACTATACTCTGTGTGGTATGTGGGCCATTCATTCATGATGGGCTTTTTTTTTTTTTGCTCCTTCCAGTATAGGTGCCTGGCCCTACCCTCACATCCTTACCCATGCTACAGTTATAGATACCCATGTTTCCAGTGCTTGGGCGCCAACTGAAAACTGTTGTAAGTGGAATAGGCCCCATTTAGCTCAGGGATACTTAGGGGATGGCAGTGGGATACTATTTAGGGTGTTTCTGGCCCCTGTCCCAGGCTGCAGTGAAAGATGGGATAAATATTGCTTCCCCTCCCTTCCCAGCCATCCAAAGCCTTCACAACCCTGTCACTCACAGAAATTCCAGAATTAATCAGGTACAGTACAGTCAATCACCTTTATTCCAGGGTTAGAACACACTGCAGACAGGAGCGCAGGATAGGAGCAGTCTCACAGCAGTACAGGGGTGGAAGGCCAGGTTAGTCTTTCTTTTCAGATTATTTTGCCTCACAGAGAAAACCAGTAAACTATGCCGAAAACGACCCTGTCTCTTCTCCCATCTCATCCTCTCTCCTCCTCACAGGAAGCCTCTCTTCCTTCGCATGCTCGTGCTCTTGTTCACTCTCGCTCTCTCCCTCTGTCTCAACAGATCCCCAAGTGGAAGGAGAGTTCACATTCATTTCTCCTCCCAGTTCTACAAGTATCTCTCTCCTTAAGGGAGAAGCCAGACAGGGCTGGGAAAACGTGGGAAGGTCCTTTAAGGCAAAACTGGAGTACTCGAGGTGTGTGTGTTAAGGCAGGTGTCCACAGCAGTGGCCAGAGGGGATAGCAGGCCGGGCTGGGCTAGGAGTGGACAGTGCTCTCCAACCTGTCTGGCTTCTTTCCTCTTCCAACAGCTAGCGCTCTCCTCCCACTAAAGTTTGGCTCACATATCCTAAAAGCTCCTAACTTAAACTGTCTCTAAATCTCTGAGATTGAATGTGAATTTAATTTACTGTTGTTTTTGTTTTTTTTTTTTAAAAGAAAAAAAAGCTTGCTTTTTTAACTATGTAGCAATTTGACCCTGCCACTTCCTTCACTGTGGCATTCCCCCCCGCCCGCCGACTCTGGCCTAGACAATAAGTTAATGCTAGACACCACAAAGAAGGGCAGACATGGCAGTGCAGGTTTAATATACATATATGTAGAATATATATGTACACACAGTTAGCACGGTCGGGGTAGGGGGGACATCTTGGGACAGGCAGGAGGCTGGGGTCACTCACTATAGTGATTTGGCGAGGAGGCATCCACAGGCCCAGGGGGCCAGGATACTAGGGGAGAGGGGTTACCACATCCCCTCGTATACTGAGTTGGAGATCAGTGCAAAGGAAAACTAGTTAATTTCCCTTCTTTCTGGCCTGAGGGTGTTCTAGACCAGGGAGAGAGGGAAGGTTGTCTGCAGTAACCACAGTGGGACCCTGGAGGTGAGGGCTGGATTGGACCTAAAACCTAAGGATCTCATTCCCCAGCCTCTCCAGGTTCAGGGTCAGTATGTGCAACAGAGTGAGTAGGAATAAAGGAGTGGAAAAGGGGGCCCTTCTCTCTGCCCTCATCCCCATCTTCGGCTCAGTGCTGCATGCTCCCAGCATAGTCTCTCCAGAGCAGGGGCCATGGTGTGGGGAGTGTATAATGCCAGGTGCTCTGTGGGGTTTGATCTGTGGGGCCAGGAAAGGATCCAGTGGTCCTCTTGCATTAGATCCCTGGCTCACACATATCCTTAGCCCATGAGAGGGGAGCAAAAAAGGACCTGCTGGTGCCCAGGCCTTCCAACCTGAGGAACACATGGAAATGTGAACCTTCCTGTCCTGCGTGGGGGTGCCAACACTGATCTCTGCCTTTTCCTTGCCCCTTCCAGCTGGGGGGGCGGCCTCTTCACATCCACCCACTTATCCCCTGCCTCACCCCCACCTGAGCTCTTTGCTGTAAGAAAATGCAGGTCCTTTCTGTTCCCACACTTTAGAGATGTGGGGGGAGAGTGGAGGAAAGGGAAATAGGAGGAATTTGCCAATTTCTATTTGCATAGAAATAGCCCCTGCCTCCCATAAAAGTGGTGAAATGAAGCCCTCCTCCCCCAGCCCCTGACCCCCAGCCCCTGACAGGGAGGAGGAACTAGGTGAGCTAAACATAGACAGACAGCGTGCGCACACGCACACACACGCGCACAGTAAGGGGGTTAGGACCAGGTTAGTAGGTGGGTAGGTTGGGGGGGTGCCCTTGCCCCCTCCCGCAGAGAATGGGGGAAGGGAGCGGTCTGATGAAGGTCCAACCTTCCTCCTCTTCCTCCCCTTTGCTCAGGCCTTCTTTGGTGGGGGGGCCAATTTGATGATCTCTTCCTCAGAAGGCTGCCGGATAATGTCTGGGGGCACAAAGGGATGTTGTCCAGGGAGAGAAGTGGGAGATGCCAGGTAGGCCCATTGAGCGTCAGCCCCCACTTCTGAACACTCCAGCACCCCAAGGCTAACTGGTGGAAGGGGAGAGGTGCAACTGTGCCAAGGGCATGGCCTCTTACCTTTGTACTTCTTGGCACTGGGGATACGGGTTAGCTTGGTGTCCAGCTCATCCTCCTCAGAGATCTTCAGCACACGAGTCCTGTAGTCAACCACCATAGTGAGGAGGTCAGGACGGCGGGAGATCTCAAAGATGTGCTCGATGTAGGAGAGGTTGTCTGGAGGAAGGCAGGAGACTTAAGGATCAGAGCTAAGCAACAGAGGTCAGCTTCCCCTGTTCTTCCAGACCAGAGCTCTGCAACCATGGCTGGGGTGCTCACATTGGTTATCAGGAGGGGGCAACACTGCAAGAAGAAGGGCTACTGAGCCAGGCAAAGAAAGCTGAGGCACTGAGATCGCAGTCCAGAGGGCTGGTCCCAGGACGGGCAGAGAGTTGATCAGCTTCTAAATAGTGAATTTAGAGTGAAGGATTTAGATTAGATACCAGGTCACACATTGGGTGGAGGGAAGAATAGAAAAATTAACCTGCTTTCCCAATACGTCACCCACCCTGTCCCTCTTCCACCTCCCCTCCAAGTTTCCACACTGGTGGGACTGGAGGGGTGGAATCTCTAGACAACCCAGCAGAGATTCTGGGCCTAGGTAATTCTGAAGGAGGGAAGGCACAGACAATACCAGATGATCTTCATGGCTTGGCCAGTGTCAGGAGACCGGAGAGGCCCCTTTGACTACTGCATCAGTCTAAGTGTGATGTGTTCCTGTTCATACTACAGTCAGATGAGTATTTCTGAAGGGCCCTAGGTCACTCAACACTTATCACTCAAGTCCCTCCACAACACAGCCTTAACTTAACCTCTCCAGCCACTCCATACACAGCCTATGCCCAGCCCAGCCAAGCAGGACCCCTGGCTTTCCTCAGACACATGAGGCATTCCCCTCCTTGGCCTCTGTCTAGCATCCCCTCCTTTGGATCCTGCTTTTCAGTTCCCACCTGCCTTTCAGGGTCATCTTAAACATCAGTTCCTCCCTAGAGTCCCCAGCTAGGTGGGACTGCTCTAATCCACTGACCTTCCCAGCCCCACCCCCAGGGCAGTGGTCTCTAAAAGTGGTTAAGAAAACGCCAGAACTTGAAATTTTTCTTTTTAACTTTAAATTTCATCACTTTTAACTTTTTTTACGTCCTATGATGTATGTGATAATAGCGTGGTAGTATCTGGATAACATTTTTACTGCCAAGGGGCACGATGACAAATGTTTAAAGACCAGTGCCCTGGCGCCCCTGTGCTCTCAGAGCATCTCTTTTCGTCCGCTCTGTCAGAGAAGCACGCTTTGTGTGTGTAGGAGCTTCGAGTTTCTCTCTAACTGCTGAATGAACTGAGCCCCGGAGTCTGGTGGCAGGACCCCTGCGCTGCCCTCCCCCACCTTTGTCCAGTTTGTTGTGGCTCTCCAGGAAGCTGAACCAGGCACTGCCCGTGGTGATCTCCTCGCTCTTCTCGCTGGGGATGTCCTCCTTGCAGGCTGACTTGAGCTGTTCCAGATCTTCCAGGGTGATGTTGTTGGTCAGGTCCTGGAGGAGGGTCCCGTACTCGGCCATGACTGGGGTGGAAAGCAACAAAGTGGGGGGGCAGGGACGGGACTGAGCCTGAGGCATGGCTCTGGCTCACTCACTGGCACGCCCACCTGCCTTTACCTGGTATGTGCTAGAAGGGGAGGGGTGGGGAGGACCAGGACTGGAGGAAGAAGAGGAGGTGGAGGTAGACAGGAAGAAACTCAGAAGCTAGGAGCCAGGCTGGAGCGAAGAGGGACGAGTCACACCTCCTTCCCCCCATCATCTTTCTTCGCCCCCCCCAGCAGTAACCCTGGCAACAGCTCCCCTGACTGAGGAGGAGGTTACCATAGCAACCTGCTCGCCTTTCTCACCCGCTGCCTTCAAGTCCCCCCCTCAGAATTGCCCCACCCACCTACAACCCCCAACCTTGTCAAAAAAAAAAAAACAGTTTTTTTTTTTCTTTCAAAAAACAACCCAGGAGAAGTTTGCGGTGGCCATAAGAAGCTGAAAAGAAGGGACTGGAGGGGGTTGGTTGGAGCTTGTGTCCTAGCTTCCATCCTTCCCCAAAAGCAAAGGGGTCCCTCACATCAACTCCCCACCACTTCACTAATGATTCGTTTTGGATAGATGCCTAGTTGCTTGGTCTAATAGTCCCCTGGCCTCTCCATGCTCAGCCCTGTACGTAGTCATCAGAGCCTGGGGGGCAGGGGAAGCAGTGGACCACCCCCAACTTTACAGAGCCCATTTTCTCCCTTGATGACTACCAGGCCCCCACTCAGCCCTTTCTCCTAGCCTTTGTGCTGTGCCTACAGCCCCCGCGCCCAAGAATACCAAGCAGCTGGCTCTGGCCCCCTGCCCAGTTCCCAGGCTGGCTGGGTGGCAGGGGGAGGGGGCTTGGATGCAGCTTTGGGAGAGTCTGGCAGGAAGGGGGCTGCCACCTTCCTGCATCAACACCCTGCTGGCACCATCTTCAGCATGGCCTCCCACAGCGGGCTGGGCCAGATCTCATCTAGGTCTTTACCCCATGCATCCCTCTTTCATGAAGATCCTTAGAAGGTAGAGAAGGTTCAAGGTCCTTCTTCCACTCACTAAGATAGAACTGTGGCGAAGAGAGAAAGAAGGCAGGCCAGACCTTAGGATGAACTTTCTAGATTTGATAAACATGAAATTCTAGTGGCGAGTTCAATAAATGGACATATTTCCCATAATGAGAACATACTTCTTTTAGTCAGAAAAATAAAGCATTAAAAAAAAAGCATGTCATAAACACTCTGGCTAGGCCAAGGGGTGGCAGGAAACTAGATGGCCTTGTACCTGACTCAGGCTGCCCACAAACCCCCCCGGTATTGGGTTAGTCATGTGGCGGGTAGAAGGGGGCTGGTTAATAAACGCATTTTCCTTCTGGCCTCTGTGCAGGGAAACTGAGGCAGAGAGGCATATCACTAGGCAGTAAGCGGCCCCGACACAGAGGTCCCCATTCCCAGCCCCCTACTTGGACCAGAACAAACAAGCCTCCCTTGGTGGCAGGCACTGTGACACAAACACAATGAGCCAGACAGCAGGGCCAGCACGACCCCGCAGCAAGAAACAGGCAGTCACGGACATGCTCACTGGTACACCCAGGTGCAAACAGACAGAAAGGCCCAGCGGTGGCCCTGCCAGGCTGGGCCAGGAACAATGCACGCTGACTGTCAGCACCAGGAACCGTTTCTGCCTTGAAATCTAGGTCACAGCAGCAGGCTCTGGAGCCCAGGCCCCCACCCTCCACTGATAATCTGAGGACAGAAGCAGGGGGTGCGGTTGGGGGGATGATGGGAGAGGGTCTAGAAACGGGTACTGCATAAAAATGGGGGGCGGGGAGAGGTAGTGGTGAGGAGAGCTGGAAGGGACGGGGCAGGGTGGGAAGGAGACAGACGCCCCTGCCCCCGTGGAGGAGACCCTGGGGGCAAGCCCTCAGCTGGAAAAGGGCAGAATTTAGGGTTATCCTGCCCTGCTTTCACACGGAAAAGCAGCGTTTGTAAATAATGAGTGATCCTGTGGGAGGAAGTGTGTGTGTGTGTGTGTGTGTGTGTGTGTGTGTGAATCTCTTGGGAGGAGTTAAGATTTAGGGCTCTGAATCTAAAACAGATTTACAGGGGAGGTGGGTGGTAAGGGATTCATGTGTGTGAGATGTCCACCCACAAGCCTGGGGGGCGGTGGGCAGGAGCTTTCTCAGTGAAACAGATCCGAGGAGGCCCCTAGAAGAAGTAGGGGTGAGGAGGTTAGAGTGGCAGGGCAGGAATGTGAGTGCGCCTGCATTCTGAGTGGATGCTGATCACTGGCGACGGGTGCAGGGATGCGGAGGAGGCAGTGGGTGGGTATCTGGGTGTGTTTGGATGTGTTGGTAACGAACGGATGCGTACGGGCCAGCATTGGGTGTGTGGCTGTGGGCGCACTGGCTGTAAGCGTATGTGGTACGTGTGTTTGTATGTGTCTGAGCCAGTGAGAGCTTGGGGAAGGTATGTAACCATAGGCTTACATCCAGAGAAAGGGGAGGCTGAGGGGAGCCTACAGAATGGAGGGGAGAGCTGGGGGTTGGGAAAGGAAAGAGACAGAGGCTGCAAATGAGGAATCCGTGGGGTGGACCAAGACTGGAGGGAGGGGGCCACCCAGGGAGCAGCACACAGAGTCGACGATGAGAAGGCTTCAGCCTCAGTTCAGCTGTTACCATGGCAACCTCAATTCTGGGTGCCCCCCCCCCAAGTCGCCCAGTCGTTAGGACAATAACACCACTGGATGGGAGGAGTGTGGGGAGTGGTAAGAAGGGACAGAAAGGACAGGAGGTAGAGGCCCTCTGAGGGAGCAAGGAAAGGTTACCTCCCTCCCTGGAGAGACCCCATTTGCCCAGGCCTGGGTGTGGCAGCAGGGCAAGGGGCACGAAATTTGGGGGGAACTTCTGAGATGTGGGGAGGTGGAATCTCCTTACATGGTTCTCAAATCTCACTGATCAACCAGTGCCTTGGTGTGGTCTGCCCATGGTGGGACGTAGCAGAAGGTCTATGTCGCCTTCCTCACTGAGATTCAGAATTCCTAAGGGCCTGTGGAGAAGTCTCCTGCCCTCCTGGTTCAGAAAAACCCTGCTCTCTGGAGCAGTGCAGAGCACTGCCCAGGGAACACCAGGCAGCCTGGGCGGAGGCCATTCTTGGGACAGGATACCAGGCAGGAACCGGAACCGGAGCCAAGGCTGCCAGGAAGTCAGTCCCCTTCCCTCCCAGCTCATTCTCTGCTCTGCTCACCATTTCCTCACACCTTCCTTCCTTCCTCCCTCTCCTTCCAAACTGGCCCCAGGCAGAGCCCCGACAAAGGCAGGACCCACTGAGGATGCTGAAAAGAGGGGCAGGGGCAAGGATCATCACCTACTGGCCCTTTAGGGAAGGAGGTGGGAGGATGATAAGGGGGTGTGGGGCAGGTGCTCCGTGGGCTTGGGGGAGAAAGAGGCACTTCGAGAAGCCTGGCAAAATGGGACAACCACCTGTGGAGGAGATGGCGGCACCAGAAGAACGGCTCTGCATTTTTGACGTTAATTCACGGCAGGTTGTTTAAGAACTGCTCAGGCAGCACCCTCTCGCCTGAGGTGTGCCCTACCAATATGGTTTTCATAGTAAGGAATGAGGTGCCTAAGTGTACTACTATCCCTCATCCTCTACTCAAGGGACCAGGTCTAGCCTGCCCTGAGGGTCCCACTCTCTCACAGGGTGAGGAAGTAGAGATAATTCTCTGTAGGTTAGCCATTGTGATTCCTCTTTTTGTTCACCAAACAAGCGCCAGAGGAATGTTGGGCGCTGTGTTTGGGGGGAAGGCAGGTTCTCGTGAGAATGAGCAGTGGAGCCACTCCTTGTTGTTAGGTGCCATCAAGTGGATTTTGACGCATAGTGACCCCACGTGACAGAGTAGAACTGCCCTATAGGGTTTTCTTGGCTGTAACCTTTATGGAAGCAGATCGTCAGGGCTTTCTCCCCCAGAGCTGCTGGGTGGGTTGTAATCTCCAGTCTTTCGGTTAGCAGCGAGCACCATTTGTGCTACCAGGGCCCCCTAAATGCTCAGGTCCTCCTTCTAGGCCCAAAGAAGTGGCCCTATGCCCCAGGGCGCTCCTGGAGAAGTCCCCTCTCCCTAGCCTTTGGTTCCAAATCCCCAGTAAATTTAAGAAGTGAGAAGGAAGCCTGAGAATCAGGAGATGCTGCCCCTCCCTCCCCCACATCTGCTGCAGCTGTCTAAGGCTGAGGGGAGGGGCCATCCTACACAGCTGCAAGGACCAGGAGAGATCTCGGCAGTGGGGCTGGAGAGGCTTGCAGGCACTCCAGCCCGCCAGTCTTTGCTGTCTGGAGGTGGGTGGAGTGGTAGTAACGGAAGGGCAGAGGGGTGGGAAATGAGGGAGTAGGGTTCCAGCCATCCTATTTTATATCTGGCCCCAAGTTATAGCAGTCCTGTGCTTCATCCCTAATTTTTCCTTTATCGTCATACTCAACGGACCTCTTCCCTTTGCTTCTCTTCAGCCTTGGGGGAGTCTGTATTCCTGTAACGGAGGAAAAAGAGGGCACAGAGGCTCCAGATCTGCCTGGGAGTGAGGGGCGGAAACACACCTGAGCCCCCACATATTTAGTCCAAGAAGTACAATGGGTCACCCCTGGGCATGTGGACAGGGGCTGAGCCTTCAGCCCTTAGTCTACGAGAAGGACCAGACCCAGAATGGGGCACTAGGAGACCTGGCATTGGATGGGGCAGGGTAGGGGATGGCTTTCTGATAATGTGGAGGGGGATGGGCCTAGGACTCTCCGTAGTCCGTCTCTGTCCAGCTTATCTGGTTGTTTCTCCCTGCCCCCATTTCTGTGTCTATCTCCCATCTCTCCGTCTCTACCCCACCCACCTCCTCTCTGCCTAGTCTTTAAGTCTCTTTATCTCCTTTCCCTTCCAGCTTTTCCTACCCACCCATCCCCACTGGGGGAGCCTTGAATACTTAAGACTCAGTGTCCCCATCTGAATATTCAGAGCTACTAGAGGAGTGAGTGAGCATCCCGGCTGCAAGGAGATGGAATTAGTTTGGTGGGGAGGGGCCTGGAAATCCAGTGGTTGGCTGCATACAGGTTGGTGGGAGATGTCTGATATTGTACATGAGGATCTGTGTGAGGGGGGAGGCATGGGAGGGTGCTGTGTGACTGTGACTCCATGCATGACAGTACATGCACACATG